CCTGATCCCCGCGGACTTGCCGAAGCAAGTCTCCGCGTTCGCAGATGACCTCGGCTTGGTGGCCGCCGACATTTTTCGCGCGCTCGGCCCTGTCGCCCGCGCGATCGTGCAGTTTGACTTCTCCTCGGGCTTGATTTTGAACACCGCCAAGTGTGTGATAATCCTCACTGACCCTGGCAAGCTGGAGAATGCCGTTGCCAAGTTCAGGGAGGCAGGGATAAAAGTGCACAAGATTAATAGTCAGTTTTTTGGGAAGCGCCTTGGATTTATTCTTGGAGCCGACGGCCTGGACCGTTCCTGGAAAACCGTTGGTGCCAAACTTCTGGCTCGGGCCCACATGGTAAAACATCTTGGGGAAGGACTAATTACCAGTCTCGTTGCCCACAACAGATATGCCCTTCCTGTCGCCTCATCTATTGGTCAAGGCTTCCGGCCCAACAAATTCGTGCTACAAATGGAGAGGGAGGCGCATCAATTGTATACATGCAGCCCTCGCCACTCTTTCCCGCCTGGACTGTTTCATCGTTTCCAGGAGCTCGGCCTAGGTGTGCAAGCGAATTCTCTCGAGGTGCAGAGCCGCGCTGCCAGGCGACGATGTCCTCCATTATTTGAGCTGTGGCGTATGTCGCCCCGTCCCTCAACGCCTCCTCCCTGCTCTTCCTGAAGACTACGGTGGTGATCTCCTGAGTTCCTTCCTCTCTCACCTTTTCCATCTCTCGGGCCCCGATGCTCTGCCTAGTTATCTTGTTGCATTGGACGCCATCCATTCGTCCTTTCAAGCTTTGCGTGCCTCTCCCCCCGTCTCTCAGCAGTTTGCGCAGCAAGTCATACAGGGTAGGCTCCGAGTGTCAGTCAGGCGTTCGCCTAAGCTGCAGGGCCTTCTTCACTAGCCGCGGACAAGCAGGACACTGACGAGCGGGGCTCCTCCTCCTCCGTCTCCTCCCTGTCCTCCGTCTCCTCCCCCGTCTCCTCCTCCATTTTGTCCAGCGTCCCTTCTCCCCCTTCTCCCCCTCCTCCTCCTCCTCCTCCTCCTCCTCCTCCTCCTCCTCCTCCTCCTCCCTCTCCTCCTCCTCCTCCTCCTCCTCCTCCTCTTCGTCTTCCTCCTCCTCCGTTCAAATCTCCGCCCCCTCCTCTGTCTCACCTCCGTCTCCTCCCATGTCTCTTCCTCCTCCTCCTCCTCCTCCTCCTCCGTCCCTTCAATTCTCCTCCTCTTCCTCATCCATCTCCTCCTCCACTCCTACATCTGTTCCTCCTTATCCTCCTTTTCCAGCTCCCTCATGGCATCCGGGAGTCCCCCCAGGGTGAGGCCCACGATCTAGACGAGGACAGCCCGTGTTGCAGGCAAACGCGAGTACGTTCAAACCGCCCTTTGAGGATGAACAATTGCTCCAGGGATCCCTTGCAGACTTGCCTCTCGACCTTTCCTAGGGAACTGAGGAGGAGAAGGAAGAGGACGAGTAGGGAAAGGGGAGGATAGTAGTCGTGAGCAGGGAGAGGAGGAGGAGGAGGAGGAGGAGGAGGAGGCGGAGGAGGAGGAGGACAAGAAGGCGGAGGAGGAGGAGGAGGAGGAGGAGGAGGAGGAGGAGGGGGAGGGGGAGGAGGAGGAGGAGGACGACGAGGAGGAGGAGGAGGAGGAAGGAGGAGGAGGAGGAGGAGGAGGAGGAGGGGGAGGAGGAAACGAAAGAGGAGGAGGAGGGAAGAAAGAGGAGGAGGAGGAAAGAGGAGGAAAGAGAGGAGAAAGAGGAGGAAAGAGGAGGAGGAGGAGGAGGAGGAGGAGGAGGAGGAGGAGGAGGAGGAGGCGTAGGAGGCGGAGGAGAAGGCGGCTGAGAGGTGGAGGAGTCGGAGTGTAGGATGAGGAGGCGGCCAGCGGAGGGGCGATTCGAGGAGATGGGGAGCAGAGGCAATCTAGGTGCGCTCGCGTCATACCTGACGTACCACCACTCCTTCCCAACCGTAACATTGCGTAGCGCCCCTCTCTATTCCCACAGTCGTTATGTCGAAGAGGACAACGAACCCCAAAGGGTACGCGATGCATAGCATGGCATACCACTGCGTAGTCAAGCATGGCATGTCAGAACATTGCAGCGTAAAACACGGCATCGCCTGGCGGTGCATGATATAGTATTACATGACATGCCATTGCATGGCATGTCACTACGTAGCCCAGCGTTGCATATACAGCATTGCAGAGCCAAACATAACAGCGCATACCAGCGGCACAGAACGTAGCATTGACAGTTTGGAACTGAGGCCAGAGGACCCACAATTTGGAAATGAGGCCGATGCTGCATTGGTAGCACCAGTCGGAGGGACTGACACCGCGGAAATGAGGCCAGCGTTGCAGCGGGAACATTCGGCAAGACCGAAAGCACGGAAATGAGACCAGCGGTGCAGCGGGAATACCAAGACCAGCGTTGCAGCGAAGTCACATGCTCGAAGGACCAGAAGCGCGGAAATGGTGCCAGCGCTGCAGCGCCAACGCAGTTTTGAAGAACCGAGAACGATTGGATTGGAAACAGCAACTGAAGAAGTACCAACTGTTGAAACCCGGTGTACGAAAAAACAATACGCGGAGAGGCCAGGACATCTTCCGGGCAGAGTCAGGGGAGGGAGGAGCGTAGTATTCGTAATGTGTCACTGTGGAAGGGGGAAGGAGAGGAGCACGAGGTGGATGCGCGGCGAGCAGCAGCGATCCTACCTGCAGCCAGGCGCGCCCGAATTGGCTCTGCAACGAGCCATAGGCGGCCCCCGCGCGTCCCAGCGCGGCCAGGCCACCCCCCCCCCGCGGGCTTGCCTGCTCGCTCGCGCGGGCAGGCCACGAAAAGGGCGCCCCCCGCTCCCTCCCGAGAGGCCCAGCGGTCGGCGAGCCGCGGGGGCTGCGGCGCGAGAACCGGCGACTACACGGGGTGTGGCTGTATCCTATTGCTAATTCCTACTGCTCATCTCTAGTTCTTCGAAAATTCCTGGATTTTCTGGGAGCCAAGATCCTTTCGTTTTTGATTGTTCTATCCTGGGCCTCTTCCTGGCCACCGGGGGGCCAGGAACAATTGGAAACGAGCACAACTAGAAATGAGCACGATTAGACATGAACGACGTGTACGCCAGGGTGTGGTTTGCAATCTGCGTCGTTGGGGCTTCGGGGGGGCGCCGCGTTACCCTCGTTGGGCCTCCTCGGGGTGCGGCGGAGGACCCTGTCGAGGTCCTCGCCCGCCTCCCAGGGTGCGGGTTGCAAACCATACCCTTTGCAAACCACATCCTTCGGAGACGCCGAGAGGTCCCCCCGGGGCCCTGAAGCAAGAGCCTCGGCTGGCATTCCGCGCTTTTGTGGGGTGGTTCGCAGCTTCTCCCCCTGTCCTCCTCCTTCTTCTGGTTTTTTTTGGTTGTGTCTGCCTTCGTTTGTTTTGTTGTGCCTCACCGTGGCCCTGCCGCTGCTTGGATCCAAGTGGCCGCCGACCAAGAGCATGTCTTTGTTAGGGCGGGGAGGGGCCGGCAGCCGCGCGTCGCGGCAGGGCTTTTCCCACGGGAGCCCCCGGGCGCAGCCTCTGGCGGAGGCCCCAGCGGAAGCAGAGCTCGAGAGAGAGAGGGAGAGAGGCCCAGCAGGTCGCTTGCGCGCAAGAGTGGCGATTGGCCCGGAGCGGCCCGTGGTGCGGGCCCGCTGGGGTCCCCCGATCGCTTCGGCATGCGATGTGATGGCAGCGGCCAGCGCGCTTGGGTTCGCCCCCCCCCACCCCCCCCAGGCTCCCCAGAAAGCAGCGCACCGAAGGTCAGTGCTGCCGAGGGTCACTCTTGCATGTGGCCGTTTCGGGGCAAGGGCGGCGGCATGCTCAGAAGGCAGAGGTTGTCACAGGAGAGGTAGGACCAGTGCAGCAGGAGACGGAAGGCAGAAAGGGGCATGTGCGGATGAAGCTGGGAGGAACGAGGAGGGATGTGTAGAGGAGAAAAAAGAGGAGAAGGAGGTGGTGCATGGGGACGGGCAAGGTTAAGGACGAGGGAGAAGAGGGACCGAGAAAGGAGAAGTGCGGGGGGCGTTAGAGAGGAGAGGCACGTTTGAGGGAAGCCGGTGGGCAACGACTGACGAATAGTCCTTGCTTCCTGCCTACCTTCCTCCTTTGCCTCCTCTTCCTCCTCCTTCTCTTCCTCCTCCTCCTCCTCCTCCTCCTCCTCCCTTTTCATCTTCTCCACCTAGTGCCACGGCTGCACGGGAAGGGCTACGCCTGGCTGTGGCGTGGGCAAGTGGAGAGAATTTGCGGACATACGGGGCGGGAGTTCGCTGTAAGATGCAATAGGGCCATGCTTGTGAGAAGGCTGGGCGCACCCGCGAAGTCGGCAAAGTCTGCAGTCATAGGGGTACCAGTCGGAGGCAACGGTGCGCACAAAACAAAACCATGAGTTCGATAATGTCCGCCTGCGCTGCCGCGCATCCCCGCCACCGCGCTTTAACCACTAAGCATTACAAGCGGACCTTACCAGGCGGGACCCCGTGGCACATCCAAAGTTTCCGGCGGACCTAGGGACCTTGCAGGCGGGATCTTATGGGGCCTTGTGGGCATCCCCCAGTGGCACCCAAAGCAACCCAGATGGCGCAGGGGCTCGATGGGCGGGCGGGACTCAATGGGACCGCACGGGCGCCTAGAGCACCCAAAATCACCGGCGGACAATACGGGACCATACGGGCGAGACGCGGGACTTCATGGCAGCCAGAAGTTCCCAGCGTTGCAAGACAAATCTTTGAAAGGACAGACTCCCAACGTGAAGGCACTGTTCCGGCGTGGCGGGGGGGTGCGGGGCAAAAACGGCAACGAGGGGACCGTCCCACCAGCCGTGGCACGGTGCGGTGGTGGATCTGCGGTTGATGGGGCCACGAGGCCGCCTCGGTGTGCACGCCATGCGAACACGGTGCAGCTGCAGTGTCACCGCTGCGGCGTGCGAGCGTCGTGCGAGCGTGTCGCAGCCAGTGCGGTGGCGGTCACGCAGTCCAGGTGCGGCGATTGTTCGGGGCCAGAGCCATCCTGGCTCAGGCCACCTGGCTCAAGCCATGTGGCTCACGCTTGCGTATGAACTCTGCAAGCGCTTATCGACCCTTTGACATGATAGCTTCACGATGAAGAAAATGGCGGCCGCCACCGCGAACAGCTTTATTTTGCTCGCTTCACTGTCATCATGTTCTTGCTTCCAGCTTGCGTCTAACTTTGAGCCTGAGCCCGCACCTACACGATGGACAAATTGCTCTGCTCCGGGATGTCCGCCAACTGCAGATGCTAGGGGGGGCGAGACCACGGAACAGACAGTTGCAGGGCAAAAGCCTTGGAAAAGTTGGAACCATTGTCGCCTCCGTCACGCGATGGATTCAATAGGGAAGAGGAACGTGACGTTTACAGTTCTTGGCGGGTCTGCTACAGCTGGCGCCGGCTTGCCCGTGGGGCAGCTGAATTGGTTCAAACATCTGGAGCGCATGGTCTCCCACAGCATGACAGGAGCAAAGTTCAAGAATGCGGCTCAAGGGGGGACAGAATCGTTTTGGGGTGCCTCGTTGATGGACTCCGTCGTTGGCGATACGGATGTTCTTCTCTGGGAGTACGCAATTAATGATTTCAAAGGTTCTAGCACTGGTTATCCAGAAGAGAGTCCAGAATCCATGCGTAAAGGAATTGAGTTCTTCATCCGGAGAGGTTTGCAGCTTCCCTCTAGGCCTGCTCTTGTCTTCGTTTACTTGTACGACGCAGCAACGCACTACGACACGTTTCACTCAACTGCCCTTTCATATCAGAACATTGTTCTCCAGCAGTTTGCAGACGCTGGTGTGGACATCATTGTTGTACCTGTTTCTGAGTCGCTGCGTTTCATTGGTGCCCAAACTGAGATGAATGATCATCATCCAGGGCCAAGGGGCCACGAGGCCATCTCGCAGTCTGTTTGGAAGGAGATGCGCTGGGCAGCCGCTGAAGCACACGAATCTTGTTCGCCAGAAGAATACAAAGCTGCTGCGTCTGCTGCAGATATTCCCGAGGGTTCAGACTTCGCGAAAGACAACTTTTTGCATGCGCTTCAACAGATGAGATCTGTATCTGGCACCCCTGTTCAGCCTCGCTTCGGGAAGTCAAACTTCAGTACGGATGCCTGCGAATTGGGTGAGGCCACTCTGGAAAATTTCACGAATTGCAGTGAGGTGGTCATGGACATTTTCGGGAAAGGTGAACCGGGGCGGGCGGATCGGAAGATCGGGTATGACATCCCGCCGTGCGCCGGAAATCGCATCTTACGCATCAGGATGGGCGGTCTTGCCGAAGGTGATTCGAGCGGCTTCATCGGCATGCACGTGGGCGGTGGCAAAGACGCAAGGAACGAATGGCCACATACGATTCGCATTCGTATTGACGGCCACCAGCCAGCGGAATTCACACCACGTTCAGCAGTCAACAGGTTTGGTGCCGTATTCAATCTTTGGATTCCTCTCAATCTGAGTGCAGCCAGGCGCACGACCTCGCAGGAGCTAGCCTTAGCGTTGTGCATGCCAGAGGACAACGTGACTGGAAACTGGCAGGAGTCTTTCTGGAGTCCTTTCCATAACGGAGGAGGCCGCGTCGATTGGATTACTGTGTTCGTTGGTGCATAGCGACGGGGTCAACCCGTCTTCTGCCTCGGTCTCTCCGTGCTTCTCGCCCTGCGCCGCATCCTGCCAACGCCCTCCTTTCGCCCACCTTGGCCGCCTGCCCTCGGCCTCGCCCCGTGCGAGCAGCACCCTGGCCCAAGAGCATCTACGTGTGCCTCTTGGGGCTCCGTGAGCGCAGAGGCATCCATTGCCTCACGCGTATCGGTCCTTTTCTCATCTCGCCTCTCCCTTCCACTTGGCATCGATCGGACGTGTGCATTTTTCCGTCGGCGAGGACCATCGAGGAGCATCCTTGATCGTTTGGCGAAAAAAACCACGCACGAAACCGAAAAAAGCACAGGGGATGGACGTCCGAGCGATGCCCAGTCCGTGCCTCTCTTCAGCTCGAGCTGCGCCCAGTCCCCGGTCAGTTTACATGTTCTGCTGCATTCTCTTGCGGGTGCGCCCGATGCAAAAGCAAGACGTGGCTGTCGTGATCAGGAAGGGGGCGCAGCAGGGACATCGGGTGAGAAGCTGACCTGCCAACAACAGGTGCCCCGTAGGCACTTCTCATGCCCCGTTGGGCCTCGTGACCCCTCTCCCTGGGAGCCGTGCGCGCTGGACGAAGCCGAAGATTGACGAAACATGCGCGACAAGACTCTCGCAGCAAGATGTCCCATCCTGCACGCGTGTGTTCACACCATTCTTCGAGGCGCCCGCGTCGTTATGGCATGAGTGGGCGTGCGGATGACCGCAGGCGTCGGCGTGCGCTGTGGAGCACGCGGCAGCGCTTTGGCCAAGAGGATAGAAGGAGAAGGTGCGACAAGGCTCAAATCGGGCGTGTTTCATCTTCCTCGTCATCCTCCTCGACCTCCCCCATCCTCCTCGTCCTCCTCTTTTCAGTCCGCCGCCTTCCCGTTACCTTTATCCCGTCGTCCTCTTTTTACCTTCTCATCTTCCCTCCTGTCTCTCCTCGTCTTCACCCTTCTTCACCTCCTCTTCTTCTTCCTCCTCCTCCTCCTCCTCCTCCTCTGCATTCTCCTCTCACTTTCTCCTCTCACTTTCTCTTCCTTTTCTTCTCACCCTCCCACCTCACTGCCGCCGACACCCCCCTTCAGATTGCTTGCATGGCTGGGTCGGCTGGTTGGCTCACCGTCTGGACGGACGGCTGGCAGGTTGGTTGGCTGACAGGAGGGTGGGAAAGTTGGCCTGGTGGGTGGCGGGCTCGGAGCGAAAGTCCACAGTTGTTCACAGGAGGAGGAGGAGGAGGAGGAGGAGGAGGAGGAGGAGGAGGAGGAGCGAGCATTCCTCTCTTGCGTACCTGGCTTGCGTATGTACAGCGACCGCCGGGCCACGGGATGCCCGAGAGTCCCGAGCACCCTGCTCGCCAGTCCTCCACACCCCTCCTCCTCCTCCTCCTCCTCCTCCTCCTCCTCCTTCTCCTCCTCCTCCTCCTCCCTCCTCCACCTTCCTCCTCCTCCTCCGCCCGCCAGTCCAGCACGTGGCGCCCGCCAGGCCCGAGGTCGCCCGAGAGTCCCGAGTGCTTCGCCCGCCAGCCGCGCATGCCGCGTCGAGGGCGGGCAACAATGGCAGACACACCAGCAGCCGACACGAGAGGCGTTCTGGCGTTCCGCCGTCCACGTGCACACCGAGAGCGGGCACCGAGCACGCGCAGCAAGAGACACGCAAGAACTTGCATCGATGACGTGATGCAAGAGTGCGCGCACCTACGCACAGCTTCTCCCAGGTCTCTGGGTTCACGCGCGCTGGCGGGCCCCTTGCGCGCGCACTCCAAGACCCACCGATTGCGAGCGGGCCCGTGGGCGGGCCCCGCAACGGCCGCGGCGCATGCCGGGGTCGAAACGGCGCAACCCTGCCGTGCCTGCTCTCCTCATCCGCTGCCCCTTCTGCCCATCGGTTCACGCGCCAGTAGTGCTCTCTCACTGCGAGAGGAGAAGGCGTCCGTCGTCTCCAGCCTACGGCTCCATGGCAGGGTTGCCTCTCGGATCCTTCCCCGAGCGTGTCGTGCTCCTCCCGGCTGTGCCTTCGGGCGTCGGGCTCGCCGGGTCTGCAGGAGGTCTCCAGCATGCCTTCCGCCAGCCGTGCAGGGCTGCGGTCCCACACCCCACGGGCGGGCGCCCGGGCGCGCGCGCGCGGCATCTGCCCATGTTGCTCGTGGCGGGACTTGCCGCGAACCGAGCACGCGCGCGCGCGCAGTGCGCGGTGCGACCCACGGCCCTTCTGCCTCTGCCCGGCCGCGCAGCTGCGCCGAGCGCGGAGGTGCTCGGCGCGTCTGGCCGAATAGGAGGAAACGGCAGTCAGTCAGTCAGTTAGCCATGCGTCCAGTAGGACGCGTTGGCACAAGCCTGAGACACGCCAAACACGCGCCTGAACAGCCGTGCGACACGCCAAACACGTGCAAAGGACGATTGTGGTCAGACCTGAGACACGCCAAACACGTGCGGAAGCAGGCGGGCGACACGTCAAACACGTGCAGATGCAGCGCAGACGCGCCAAACGCGCGCGGGGAGGAAGGCAGGAGCATAGATTGGCGCCGCCCCTGACACGCTCCGCGTGCCAGGGGGGTCCCAGCGCCGATCCAAGGAGTCCGCGCGGACGTTCGGAAATATCGGAGGCAAGGGGTGAGATCGCAGTGGAACGGAGAGCCCCCCCCCTGGAAATCGGTTTCGGTTTCGTGTTCGTGTCGTGCGCGCGGGCGCGGCGAAGTGGCGTGAGCGGGCGGGAGGAATGAACCCTCCTCTGGCTAGGGCGCCGCCCGCCCCCCCCGTTGGCGGGTGGGTGCCGGGTGTTTCCCGCCATGGTGTTCCGATGGTGGTCTGTGGTGTCCCGTGGTGTCCCGCGGTGGCCCGTGGTGTCCCGTGGCGCGGTGTCCGACGGTAAGTTGGATAGTTCGTCTTGTGGTGTCCTGTGGTGTAATGTGGTGTCCCGTGAGTTCGATAGTGAGATCGATAGTGGGATCGATAGTGAGGTCGGTAGTGAGATCGATAGTGAGATCGATTGTGAGATAGATCGTGAAATCGATAGTTGAATCGATTGAGAGATCGATGGTGAGATCGATCGAGCGAGACCAATTAGGATATCGATAGTGAGATCGATCGTGAGATCGATTATGATCGATAGTGAGACCGATTGTGACAGGGAAAAGTTAGCAATATCGATCGTAAGATCGATCGATGGTGAGATCGATAATGATATCGATAATGCCATCGATTGAGTGAGACGTTGGTTCCTCCCCCGGAGCTCCTGATCACCCGAAGGGTGGTCGTATAGGTAAGCTTATGACGCTTTTGCTTCCATGTTCGAGAGACTCACGGTTCTGTCGGCTTTGTTGCACCTGCATCGTACCTTCAAGTGCCATCAGCGCACGGCGCATTTGAGTTTGCGCGGTGCATCTGGGCCTCTTCCCTCGTTCGTGCCACTTTCCGTCGCACCAGCTTTACTCATGCTGGGCAAACTGCGCCACCTGTGCTTCTTGTCACTCCACGTGCCGTCGCTCGCGCGCGGCCTGTGCCTGCGCAGCCCCGCCAGTCGAATCCGCCTGGGCTGCCTCGGGCGCCACTTGTTGCACCGCGGCGTAGCATCTGCTCACGCGGCCAGCACGTGCGCTTCAGGTCCGCCGCTGCATGTCTGGTCGGTGTCTCTGCGCAGCTCTCTTGCAGGCTGCCCGGTCACCTGCGCCTTGCGAGTCGCAGCATGTTTGGGTGTCCTCAGGCCTTCGCTCGCACCGGCGCGGGCTCAAGGCGCGCGCTCACTTTGAGCCAAGTGTGCGTGCGTGTACGTGTTCGTGTGCGCGTGCGTGCAACGCGTGACGCCCAGGCTTCGGGGCTGCCGCCGAGCCGCCCCCGGATGCATCGGTGTTGATGCGATGGCTCGCTGCTGAGATTCAGCAGCGGGTCGTTGTTGCGAGTGTGGCGCGCAGGGCCCTGGGCTCGCGGCTGCGGGGAGGTTTTTCGCTGTGCCCTCTGGTGCCAGCGCGCCTTCACGCCATCCCCTCCGGCGTCCTCGGAAGCTGTGCCCACGCCTGGACCTCCCTTTAAGAGCTGCGGATTTCCTCGGCGAAGCGAACAGCAGTTTATGCTAGACATGTCCGTTCACACCATACCCAAACCTGACTAACCAATTAGTTCTGGGCACCACCTCCTGTTCTCTCTATTTGGGTCGCCACCACCTTGCCTCCTCTTTGCGTTGCTGCAGGTATTAGGCCATAGGGCCGTTGAGACCCCATAGTTTCTTTTCAGATCCCCCAAGCCTGATCACACACTTAGAGGCGTTGTGCTTCCCTGGCAGGTGGAATAGCAGTCTCGCAGGTTGTTCTTGCTGTCCAGACCTGAGCGTCCAAAACATGGTCTTCTCCTCATTGGCCGCCACTGTTTCCCACTCCCCATGTTATTCTGACGAGTCTGATTACACTTCGCTTCCGTAGCCCGCTGTGCTCTGCATGAGCCCCCCCCGAGGTTGGAGGTTGGAGTCCGGCTTCTTGATACCCGCTCTTTGGAATATACGGATCTTCCCGTAAGCTGAAGTAGAACGAGTCATGAGTTCAGCTTCCTTTCGTCCAGGGCGTGCATCTCCTTCATCCTCCCAGTCTATGCAATGACCATTGTGGCTACATCGCACACATACCGCTTGCGCGAGGCCTGATACCTCCCTCTATCCCTGCCCCCTCCGCCTCCCTGTCTCCTGCTCCGTGCTGATCCTCCTCGTCCTCCTCGTCCTCCTCCTCCTCCTCCTCTTCCTCGTCCGTCTCACAGCACTCCTCCTGCGCCTGTTCCTCCTTCTCCTGGTCTCATCCGCCAGCGCCTTCCTGGGCACTCTGTTCGTCCTAGCGCCAGTTGTCTGGGCCATTCCTCCCCCCTCCGTCTGGGTAGCTGCTGATGTCACGGAGCGTTCTGATGGCACGGTCGAACGTAGCAACGAGGATTCGGTATCTCATCCATAGCAACTTGCTTCTTGTATCGTTAGCGGTTCGGTACGCTTTTGCACGGTCGGCCTGAGGGTCTTGCATCTTTATTGAGCGAAAATTGTGAGGCTCGGGCGAGGGAGCCAATATGACAACAAACCCGCCCTTCATCCTTGGTGGAGGTCTTGAGCCTACTTGTACTTTCTAGGGCAGTCGAGAGAAAACTTGAAAACGAGCCGCCCCCCATCCGTCTTGCGTTTGAAGGCTGTCAGCCTTCGGGTCAGAAGTTGGTCGCAAGTCTCGTGCAAAACGCCCCGCCCGCCCTACTGGCACGCTGTCACGTCGAGGAGGATGTACTTCTCAGGAAGGACTGCTGCCCACCGCCGCAAGCTTCGGGCTTCCTGCTTTGTGAGTTGGATGATGAAAGCGTGGGGGAGCAGGAGGAGAATGAGGAGGAGGAGAATGAGGAGGAGGAGGAGGAGGAGGAGGAGGGCAAAGGAGAGAGATGGGGCTTGGGAGGAGAATGGGAGGAGGAGGAACGCATCAGCGCCTGCCAGCACGGAGGCAACGAGCTTCCCGGACCGAGGATAGCCTGATGAGGCCGAGGACGAGGGGGATGGAGAGGACGGGGAAGAGGAGAGATCAGGACGGCGACGAAGACGCCACTGGCGGCGACGAACTCGGTGACGACAGCGATGACGACGACGACGATGACGACGACGACGACGACGACGACGACGAACACGACGACGACGACGACGTCGACGGCGACTAAGACGACGACGACGACGACCACGACCACGGCCACGGCCACGACCACGACCACGACGACGAGGACGACGACGACGACGACGACGACGACGACGACGACGACGACGGCGACGGCGGCGGCGGCGGCGACGGCGGCC